CCTCGTACGCTTCCACGACGCTGGGGACCAAAAGTATGAAAAATCGCATCATCTTTTATAGATTTTGGACCTTCATCAGTAGAAGCCTTATGAAGTTCTTGAACCTTTTTCTGAAAATATAAAGCATGTCTTAATAAACTGATGTTAATGCAAATTATAATACCAAAAATAAAAAAAAAAAAATGAAGTAATATTGGTACCACAGTTGTATCAAGCACTTCATTCATGGATTTTCCTTCCTCCCTCATATGCCCTTTAATCCAACCATCAACTCTTGATATGAATGATGGTGCTCGACTTTCTCTTCTCTAGAAAATAAAATAGAAAATGAAAATCAACATGATTAAAAACAATCTCATGGGAACCATACTTCATACCCAATTTACAAAACTACTTGAATCCCTCTTAAATTTACCATTTCATCCTCTAATCGTGCATAACCTTTACGACTCATGGTGTGTAAGAGGGTTTGCTTTTTCCTCATTACCCTAAATATATTACTTTTTTCCTATAAATTATTAATCATAGAAATTATGATTAATAATTCATAATTGAATCACTATGAGAATTTGGTGGTCTAATTAGTTCATAAAAACTAGAGAGTTTCTATGAGGAAACTTACCTTAAATTCTTTGGAAGTTCATTGTTTCACAAATGCATTCCATTCAACAATTTCCACATTATTAGGTTTGGTGAGGACAATTTTGTGTGCTAGCTTAGCACTTTTACCAAGAGGTCTTCAGATTTGTGTGAGCGCCATAATCTGCTAAACTTTTGCATGATGTATTTCATATGGAAATTATGTATTTTGAATCTAAGTTGCATTTGCATTTAAACAAAAATTTAGTGATTGGGGAAAAAACTTGAGTTGATAGTATAATAATGAATTAAATAAATATATGTTACCTTCATACAAGCCCATAGCTTATCTTTAACCTCTTCTGGAATATCAGGCCCTCTCTCTGTGGTTATTGGCACCATCTTTTGTGCCAAGATCCCTTATAAAGTGGATAGTTTAACTGACTTGGGTCCTACAAGCCGATTCCTTTCATTGAAGTCAATTTCATCACATTTTTGTTTTTCTTTATCATGCATCTTTAACTTTGATGCCCCCCTCCAGTTCTCGCATTTGGTACTAGAATGGAGTTTACAACTCCTTCCATATCATGTGATTCAACATGTGGAGAAGTAGAACACTCAGCTAAAATTTTGAATGATACATTTCTTCTTTCATCCATTGTCGCAGCAATTATAGCTTCATGCTCCTTCCCAATTCTTTTCTCAGCTTTTTTTGAACTCTATGCTATACACAAGGAAAAATAAGAAATAATGTGGACAACAATTGGTTATAAATTCAATTTTATGTTAAATAAGAAATAAAGTACCTCTCTACTCATCTTGCTAGTTAACAATTTCAAGATTCAACTGTTAATAAGAAAATGGGCATTCACAATAACAATCAGATCAGCAACAAAAGAGGTAAAACACACTAACTACATAAATTGTATCAAGGTATTTTTTACACATCCCAAAGCACTTTTGGAGGAACAACACAATATTGAAGGAAATTTTCATGAGCAAGACAGATAATTGAATAATGACAGACAGATAATTGTTTATTTTTTTATTCAATTAGTTAAGGTGTCAGACGTTATAGATTTTAAAGTTTGCAACATTCAGTAGAAGCTACTTCAAAATCGAGGGCATCAAACTATCTTTCTTTTGGAGCAAATTATAAATCAATTAATTCGTTTCATCAACAAGAGAAAAGAAACAAAAATAAAAGAAAGAATACCTCCTATCTTAGCACCAACATGCAATCACTCAAGAAATATAGAACAGAACTTCAGCAAAATTAAAGCATAACAGAAATGTTTTTGTCAAACAAATCTTTATAAGCCAAACAATAAATTCTTGATAATATTGATTTCAAAGACAACACTATATTCACCTTACAAGTATATTCACTCATATTAACTTCAAAGAAAATAACTAGTGAAATTATATAGAAAGGAAAAAACAAAAAGAACGACCAGTAAAGGAGAACCAGTCAATCCCAATAAGCATTCGGTTATATGAAAATCAAATGATCCTACTTCTCATTAATCATGCAACACTTCTACACCCTTACAATCTGTCCTCACGTAGTGCTCATCTTCATCATTAGTATTTGCACCAAGGCTAGAGCATCTAAAGGTGTAGATGGCATATAGGCATCTTCATCATACATATCCAAATCACGCAAGCCTCTTGAAGGTGCTTTAAGTACAACTTCCCAACTAGATGTATCACTATCCCTTAAATAGAACACTTCTTTTGCATGTGATGCTAGAATGAATGGATCTCTCTCAAATGGATTTCATCCTTGTTGGAGGTTGACCAATGTAAATCCATCTTCAACTTTGATACCGTTTCCAATAGTTGGCCAGTCACATTTAAATAGAGGAACTTGAAATTTGTAGTAATCCAACAAAATTATGTCTCTGATAACTCCATAGAAACAAATTTTTTCAATAACTTGTGCAATGCCTTTCTTACTAGAGTCAACAAATAGTTTATGCTTCAATGGAAACATCGCTATTTTGTGTGGACCTTTGGACATCACTTGTATGAAAGCGATGCCCATTAATGACATAGCCCAAATAAGACGTTGCATGCTTTCTTGGGCCAGTTACAAGCCATTTCAATGTATCTGAAACCTCATTACCCCATGATTCAATCTTTGCTTTCAACTACTGAGAAAAAGTGTCCATTTGTCTAGAATATAGTAGAGCGACATCTCTCAAGAAACGTCTGCCCAAAAGCTTAAGCTCCTCCGCGTGCATTCTAATAAGGAAGGCAAATTGTGAGATAAACATATCATGTAAACACTCAATTAGTGATAGAGATTTATGTTATCATACTTACTCTAAATATGGTTGGACTTCAGAACTGTTTATCAACACACAACAATGAGCAATTTGTAACATATCATCAGGTATCATGATCAAATTCCCCAAAGTAATCGGGTGTCCTTCTAGAATTATTTCATTTTCAAATTCTTTATTGCAGTTATGTCGAGCACTTATTTTAGTTGCTTGCTTCACGTACCCACTACAAAACTGTATGCACTTTTTAGCTATATAGCATTCCGTTATGCACCCCTCAGGTCTTGCACGATTCCTAACATATCTCTTAAGTATCTTTATATATCTAGACTATAATATAATTAATATTCAGGTTAATAGCTTTTTTGACAAATACATCAATAGATATACATAATAATAAGTGATATACAGCTCACCTTGCAGATAAGTACATCCAACGAAATTGCACTACTCCACTTATGCGAGCTTCTCGTCCTAGATGGATTGTCAAGTGAACCATAATGTCAAAAAATGATGGAGGGAAGAACCTTTCCAACATACATAAAGTCTCATCAACATCTTCTTCGAGTAGTTCTAATTTATTCCTATCAATCACTCTTTGACATATTTGATTGAAAAAAGTGCACAATCGAAATATTGCATTCCTTGGTCCCTCTTGTCATGACCTGAACACGCCCCTATGGATTAAGGTCATAACCGGCCAGTAATCAAGGGATTACCTGCGGCCTCAAACCAAATAAAACATGTCTTATCAGAGTTGAGGGGCCAAACCGGAAGCAAACTTACAAATTGTCCATAGAGCTGTGCTTACATGGTATAGCAAAATCATTCCAAAAGTATTTCATAATAACTCACACATATTCATAGAGTTAGGGGTTGTTTGGGGTGTCCTAAATAAGTGTACTTTTTGTCTTTTTAGACTAAAAAGTTGAGGTTGAAAATATGAATGTTTGGGTTAACTTTTTAACTTTTTATGGAAAAATGTGTATTAAAAAATTGTATAAATTAGTGTGTAGGGGAAAATTAGTATTGGGAGTTGTGCAGCCGTAATTGTTGACTTTTGGTGAATAGTGATAACTTTTTAACTTTTTGAGTAACTTTTTGACTTTTTGACTTTTTTGAGACTTCCCAAACTTGGCCTTAATCTATATCTAGGAACTTTTAGTCATACAGTCAGCCAAACAAAACGTATATACAAAGGCGATTCAACGTTTTCGCCCACATAGCAAAGATATAACAAAAGAACAAAAGGGCGATAACAAGTCTCGTGCGTGAGACGTTAGGGCTAACTTTTCAAAACTTTGATTGTTTCTCACATACTTCACCGAGGCTGGGTTTGAACATCTCTTGGCTCACCTACATACACATGAATGAGAGTGAGCAAAAGCCTAGTGAATAATATCAAATAGTGAAGATACATGAATGAAATTCGAAATAGATATACATATATCAGACGACCTTGGGCCCATTTATGATTCTATGTAGTGCATTAGGCGACTTCAAGCCCGAACATATCCAACGGCCTCTGCCCCATTTTGTCTTTAACTGACGGCCTTGAGCCCAATTCACTCATGTTCGACGGCCTTTGGCCCAGTCATTCATGTCAAACGGCCTTTGGCTCAATCATGTCAAGCGACCTTTGGCCCAATCATTCATGTCAAATGGCCTTTGGCCCAATCATTCATGTCAAACGAATATTTGTCCACCATTCAAATTAACAAACATATAAAACTCAAATAGGAGTAAGCGATCGGACAAATAGCATATTTCAAATTATCTTTACTAAAATATTATTCATAGTGTTCTGTCAGTGGATCCGTCCTTGTGCTGGACCCTACATAAATCATAACACATAATGGGTCAAAAGCAATTCAATCCGTTCTTAATTTATTCATTCCTCTTAGGCCTCTTTCTTATCTTCTTAATCCATTCACAATGCTCAATGCATGCTTAAGAGCGCTTAGAAATGAAAGAGAATAGAAAATGAAACACCATACGTCCATTTAAAATCTCAGAAACAGGGTTTCCCGCTCAAGCGTAGCTTTGGCCGCACGAGCGGACCCCCTTTGTTTGCAAAAGTACTGGTTGCCTCATTTTTGCGATCGAGCGTGACTTCGGACGCTCGAGCTGAAAGTCAAAACATGTGTTCGGATGCTCGAGCGTAACTACTCTCGCTCAAGCGGACATCAATGTCTGCAAAAGTTCTGAGAGCTAACATTTCACGCTCGAGCAGAGCTTTACCGGCTCAAGCGGGCATGCCAAATTCTGGAATTTCCAGAATCGTTCTTGAAGCTCAAACTTAACATTCAAAAGCCCAAAACTCGTGTTCTTGGTTCAAAAACGTGGAAACACATTATATATCATGAGGACATGAGCAATATGAGGCCAATTGTTCAAAATCATGATTTAATTCTCTAATCATCTCAACAAAACATATAGCTTCATGATTAAACTTCAATATACACATAACCAAACTCCATAACTTCATGAATTATACATTTATGTGTAATATAGACTCCAATACCATTCCAAATGGCACAAGTGGTGTTCATACTTATGAAGCTTAACAAAACCATGCTTGCATGTATGATTCAACACTAAATTTTTCATAATTAACATGTTACATGCTAGCTTATGCAAATTCATGGCAATTCTAAACATGCATGTGCATATAGACTTCAATCTCATCGTAATCAACTCAATTCATGATCTTGATTACCATTTAATTTTGAATTTACAAAATTCCAAACTCAAAATTATGAATTCATGTCTAATTACTTACCTAGAAGCTCAAATCTGCCAAATTATGATTAATTCTTGAGTTGATCTTTAAGATCTTCAAGCTCCTTGTTCAATTCTCTAACTTGAGCTCCCTCTCTCTCTTTCTCTCTACAATGAGCACACTCTCTCTCTAGAGTGTAATCTCAGCAACTATGAGCTCAAAAGGAAATAATTGAGTGCATATAAGCCTATTTATAGGCTTGACTAATCAAATTGATTAAGGCTAAGTAATTGAGCCTAATTCAATCGTTATGAATCTAATTATTTTGGTCCGAATCAATTTTTAATTAAATTTCACCGTAGGCTCTAAAAATTATGCTAATCACAATGGCG